TTTAGGCTTTAGGCTTTAGGGTTTATTGTTTAGGGTTTAGGGTTTAGGGTTTAGGGTATCCCTGACAGTTTAGGGCCTAAGAGGGGCCTGGGGTTCCTTATGGTGACTCTACTTATAAGGCACCTTAAAGCCCTACTCTAGTCATGAAGGCCCCTGAGCTACCATTGTCTCGGGTTCCTGATGAAGAGGATACTGATACACCCCTTAAACTCCTGTTCGAACTATTCAGGGACCCCTACATGAGCTAAGCCGTCAAAACAGCACCACCCCAAAGCCGAATCGCTGAACATGGTGTCCTAAGCATCAGCGCGAAGACTCCCAAAAAGCCCATTGCCTTATCTGCTCCACCTCTGCATCCTTAAACCCTACACTCACAAAACCGCGGCAAGGCCCTGCAAGAGCTTATGAGCACTTCTTAAGCCCGAGAGCCCACCAGCAGGTGGCTCGTGTGGTGGACGGAGCTGCAGACTTGTGGCTCTTTCCAAGACCGGGAACATCTCGATGGGATACCTGTGCGGCGGAAGCGATGCTGGAGGTTTCGGGCATCTGCCTGTTTTATCTTGCTTGCGAGTTTTCCGGCTTGGGGTTTCGGTGCACGCGTTTTTCTCGACGACTTTCGATTCATTCCTTCTCTCCAACTTGGGTTGCATCTCCTGCTAACATGTAAATCCTAAATTCAGCTTCGGCGTCTCCTAAGTTAAGTTTGTTGCACAAGAGCACCTAAGTATGACGACCACCAGGTGACCATGTGCCTGTGTGCATGTTCATCTGCTGCACTCCTGACGCCGGTGCTACTTCCTGTCCCTCAATCCCAAACCTCGAACTCCTTACTCCTTCCACCCGAAAACTCCCAAACCCAAAACTCCTAAACCCTAAACCCCTAAACCCCTAAACCCAAAACCCCTAAACCCCAAAGCCCCCTGCACGCTGAAGTCCGGCGGAGGCTTGCGGCGGAGTGCTCAGGGACCGCAGCGGGGGCCGGATCTGCTACGACCCCGACACCAGCATGGGGAACTCGGAGGGCGTCCTCGCGGGGGCCGACGAGGAGGGGATGCTGGGGCCTTCGGGATGCAGGGCTGACGTAAGGGACCCTTAAAGGGATCCTTATAGGGGATCTAAACGGGATTTGTAGGGGTGGGGTTTAGGGTTTAGGCCCTCGGTCTACTGTAGGTGGTTTTTGCCAGACATCCACCCCGGCACCGTAAAACTCCATCTAAGCCACTAGAATCCTGAACCTACACCCCCAAAGCTTAAAACTACAGCGTGCAGCTTGTCCAAGCCCTCAGAACCTTCCAACCCCCTTCCCTAAACCGTAAACCCTAAACCCTAAACCCTAAACCCTAAACCCGAAACCCTAAACCCTAAACCCTAAACCCTAAACCCTAAACCCTAAACCCCAAACCCCAAAAACCCTAAACCCTAGCCCTTGGCCGCGAGCCCCAGTCCGGAGGCCATCGTGGCCGCAGCCGTGCGCGTCTGTGCGACGCTGGACGTGGCCAAGGACAGCGCCGGCCGGCCGCTTCTGAGGCCCTGGCTGGAACAGGCGGGCTGCTTTACTGACTGTACATCTATCTATCTATCTGTCTATCTATCTATCTATCTATATGTATATATATATATACATACACACATACATACGTACATATCTATATGTATATATATATAGATATATTTATGGGATTTGCTGTATACACACATGGTGTCGAATGATATCAATACGTATCCTTATGCTGCAAAGATACATATAAAGAAAGAGGCGCCATACTTAAACATTGTACTGCCGTAACAGGCGTGTTCTTTAGGGTTTGGGTGGTTTAGGCGGTTGCTATTTTGCACAAGATTTAGGGCTTCCCGTAGTACAAGCCCAAACCATAAACACAAGTCTCGGCCCTAAGCCCTAAACCTAAGCCCCAAAAACCGGAACCCTTCGCCCTAAAACCCTAACAAAAAAGAGGCGTTGAAGCTCCCGGAGAAGTCTTTGCGGGCTTTCTGCGTGGAGGAGGACTGCGTGAGGGGCACCCACGCCTCGGTCATGCGCTTGAAGCTGTGCTTCTCCACCGCAGCTTGACCTTTTGGAGGCCTCTGGGGGCTTTTGCAGGGTTGTCTGCATCCGGTTACGCGTGCGCCCACACTTCTATATATATGTATATATATATATATGTATGTATAGACGTGTTTGTATACGAAGATATAAGGGTTTCGAGTGGTAAGGTTCGGCGTGTGAAGCTCAAGATCCCGTACTGGTTGCTTTCTGCTTGTTTACTTTAGGATATGTTGTTTTAGATATCTTGGCCACGGGGGGGGGGGGGGGTTTTTGTAGGAGCATGTATAACAACCGACTCCTTCGTTATGCATGGGCATCCAAGCACACATGTAAACCTTCAAGCTTAATTGTGCCCTAAACTCCTAAATCGCCAACCATAAACTTTAACCTGACAGCCTGGCTAAACCCCGACCTGCAAACAAATCTTGCAGAACCTTTGAAGGACCTTACATAACTCTGATACGATGGCCCTTGTAGAACATTACCCAATCTTCACAAAAGCCCTAAAGACGCGAACCTCACTCAAACTCTTAAGACCCTAAACCCCCCTTAACCGTAAACCCTAACCCCCTAATTCATCCTTAACCCCTAGCCCTAACCCTAAACCCGAAACCCTCAACCGGCGATTGCAAGGATGACAGGATGACACGCACACATCGAGAAGTGTACCAAACAAACCGTGAACCCTGAACCCTAAACCCCTAAACCCTAAACCCCAAACCCCGAAACACCTAAACTAAGTTCCTTAACAAGCGCCCGGGATTCCCCAAGCACTTGAAATCCAAGGATGGAGTGCCGGTGCCCGAGGCTTTGATCCTGAAGCGCGCTGCACCCCGTGACTCCCTGCACGTGGCCCTCTACACCCGGGAGTCTTTTATGGGTTCTCAGCAAGGAATCTTATATTTTTCTTCATGTATGTTTGGGCATCCTAAACCCTAAACCCTAAACCCTAAACCCTAAACCCTAAACCCTAAACATATGTTTCTACCCTTCCCCAAAGCAAGGAGTGCCTTTTCTTTGAGACCTGCAGCCCAATGCTCCGGGAATCCTGGGCCCATGTTAAGGAACTTCGTTTAGGGGTTTAGGGGTTGGGGGGGGGGGGGTATGATTTAGGGGTTTAGGGGTTTAAGGGTTTAGGGGTTTAGGGGATGGAGGGGTTTAGGGGATGGAGGGGTTTAGGGGATTGAGGGGTTTAGGGGTTTAGGGGTTTAGAGGTTAGAGTTTAGGGTGTAGGGTTTAGGGCTTGTTACGGAACTGAGTTTAAGTTACTACAGTTTAGGGCTCCATTCTCGGGGTACTGTAAGGGTTTAGGGGTCATACTAGGGGTCTGTAGCAAAGAATATGGGGATCTGTAGGAAAGAAAGGCCAGGATCTATAGCAACTCCTAGTATGTTTTCCTCTCTGTTTTCTAACCTCATGAAGTCCCTAAACCCTAAACCCTACACCCCTAAACCCCTAAACCCTTAACCCAAGTTCCTTCACAAGAATCCAGGATCAGGGTGTGCAGATCCCAGAGATTTTCTACGAGGAGACGACGGACGGCGGCTGCTTCTTGCTTATGGAAGATCTCATTGACAAGTCTTTCCACAAGGAGCCGGTGCCTAGGGTCTGTTTTGATCATGATTCTTAGTCTTGAAGCTTTGATGTTTGCCAAAGTCGGAGAAGAAGCATGACTGTCTAGAGTCTAGGCGCGACGCCCTAACCCCCAAGCAGACGCCAGCCCTGTACCCCAGACCCTGGATTATAGACTTTCGCTCCTACGCCCGAAACTAAATCCCCTTAAAGGCGACACAAAAGCAGATATTTATTTAGGAGCCCAGGTGCTCGAAACGGAGGAGCTTGCTTCTGCTTTGGTCGGACTGGCAAGGCTGCACGGATGCAGCTACGAGAACTCTGGGCTCAAATTCAGGCACTGCGTTTAAGTTCCCTCAGCTCAAGAGGTTTCTACGCTCTCATGATTATGATTATGATTAGCTAAGATACTAAACCCTAAACCCTAAACCCTGACACCCTAAGCCCTAAGCCCTAAACCCTATTGTCATTATTCCCAGAGCCGAGATCCCAGGAGCGAGCTTTTCCTGAGCGCCGTTGCCGCCCTCCCCGAGGTGGGTGCGGGCTCTCGCTTCGGAGTTCTTCTGTTTAGGGTTTAGGGTTTGGGGTCAAGAAAACCTCCCATGTTTTGTGTAAAGAGCTTAGGGCTTAGTTAGGGCTTATAGGGTTTCGGAGGGATGATTGAAATCCCTGAAGGGGAAGGTCTTTCTGTTTCGTTTCTTCTTTCAAAACTCCGAGATTCGTTAGAGAGCCCCTGAGAGGGCGTTTTTCTTTTGGTCTCCTTAAGGTTCCTTGGAAGGGAGCGGGAGTTTCTGGAGCAGCCATGAGGTACCAGACACGCAGCCCAGCGCCAAGCAGGCGGGTGAGCTTTGGAACAAGTTCTTGAGCTCCGTCCCCGGGATGCGGGAGTCGGATTCCCTGGCGGTGGTGCAAGACTTCGGCACGCGCCTTGCGGCCCTCAGCGAAAAGGCTCAGCAAGGCTCCAAGAAGTGTGTCGTCCACGGCGACTTCTGCTCCGAAAACATTTTCCTGGACAGCAAAGGGGACACCCTCTTCATCGACTTCAAGCATGCCTCGATCGGATGCCCATCATCGGACGCAGGGCTTTTTTGTGAGAGGAACTTGCTTGATGCTACCGCTGCTATCATTACAGGTATAAATGATGTAGCTACAATCCTAACTACTTTCGGCTTAGTTAAGTGGCCTTTGTAACTTTATGAGACCTTATGGTAATAATGGCAGCTCAACTTACCCCTAAACCTTAAACCCTAAACCCCTAAACCCTAAACCCCTAAACCCCTAAACCCTAAACTCCTAAACCCCTAAACCCCTAAACCCCTAAACCCCTAAACCCTAAACCCCAGAAGCCCAGGATGTCGCCTGCCTACTCCTGAGCTCGGCCTTCCTCGAGGACCTGACGCAAGGAAAGCTCCTGGAACTCCTCGACACCTACTGGGAGATCCTTCGTGGCTTTAGGGTGTATAGGGTTTAGGGCTACTTTTTCACTTGTTTTTTAGGGTTTAGGGTCTAGGGTTTAGGGTTTAGGGTTTAGGGTGTATAGGGGGTTTAGGGCTATACTTTTTCAACCTTTTTAAGGGGCTCGGATAAGGTAGTCTTAGTCTGAAACTTGCATCCCTTTTTGTTTCACTAAACCCCAAACCCTAAACCCCCGAGCCCTAAACCCCTAAACCCAAAACCCCTAAACCCCTAAACCCTAAATCCTCAAACCCCTACACCCCTACTTGGGAAGTAAGGACCTTCTCCAAGACTTCGATGGCATCGAGCTTCACCGAGGAGCCTCGGCTCTTCAAGAAGCAGTCAGCTCGAGCTGATCCCTCTGATCACCCTACGTTTGGCTTCTTGTTTCTAGGGTTTAGGGTTTTAGTGTTTTTAGGGTTTAGGGTTTAGGGTCTTATGAGCCTACGTTTAGCTTCTTGTTTTGAGGGTTTAGGGTTTAGGGTTTTAGTGATTTTAGGGTTTACTGTCTAGTGTCTAGGGTCTGGGTTTAGGGTTTTAGGGTCTATAGGTTTCAGGGGGTTCAGGGGTTTAGGGGTTAGGGTTCAGGGGTTTCCGGTGTGGGCTTTTGAGGTTTCAGGCTTGAGCCGGTCAAGGTTTAGAGCTTCAGGGCTTGAGGAGTTGGGGGCCAGACTTAAGGTAAACCCTAAACCCTCAGACTCCCAAATCCTAAAACTCTAAACTCTAAGTACTAAGACTCTATACCCTAAGACTCTAAACCCTAAGAATCTATACCCTAAGATTCTAAACCCTAAGAACCTATACCCTAAGAATCTATACCCTAAAGCCCCCAACCCTTTCCAGGAACAGTTCCGCCGCGAGTTTAAGCTGAGCTGCTTGGACTACGCGCGGAGGGCTCCGCCGCGGAGCCGCTCGCCATGCCTCCAAGGGGGTATGGTTTTTGAGGTTAAGGCCTTACTTAGGTTTCGGTTTAGGGTTTAGGGTTCAGTGTTTAGGGTTTAGGGTTTAGGGTTTGGGGTTTAGGCTTCGGAGAGTAGTTCTGTAGGTTCCTCTTCGGGCGAGTATCTGGTCCTTGGGCACGTCGACCAAAAGTCCCTCAACCCTAAGCCTAAAACCCTATGAACCCTAAAAGCCCTAAACCCTGTAAGCCCTAAACCCTAAACCGTATAAACCCTATAAACCCTATAAGCCCTATAAAAAATAAACCCTAAACCCTAATCCCTATAAGCCCTAAGCCCTAAACCCCATAAGCCCTAAACCCTATAAGCCCTAAAACCTATAAGCCCTACAAACCCTANNGGGTTTCAGGTTTAGGGTTTAGGGGGGTTACATAGCTGCAGTAGAATGTGCACAGCGACTCTATTCCAAGTCTTAAGATCTCTTAAGCTGGTTGCCACTGCTTGTCTTGCTCGCGCTATTGCTCATTCCCTGCACGGTGCCGCTGATGATGATGATGATGATGATGATGACGATGAAGCTGCACCGCCAGGCCCCCTTCTAAGAGCCGCTTTCATGTTTTTGTGGTTGACCCCAATCTTTATTTGGCCGAGGAACAACAAAGGGATGTCAGGGTTCAGAAAAAGACTTGGAGCCCTCAAGCTTACGGGCTCATGCTTACCCCCCCCCCCCATTACCCCTATAGACACTCAGAACCTGCGGAACATCCTCCCAGCTTGGAGCGCAGGGGGCAAGCCCCAAGCCCCTGAACCTAACCCCTGCAAGCCCAGGTGTACAGATGGATGAAGTCCCTCGTCAGCTCCTCGTAGCCCAGTTCCTGGAGTCCGTTTTAAAAGAGCTGCACGACTCTCGGCCCGCACGTTGGATGCAGTGCTCATGGGCCTAGGGCCGAGAAGGTTTAAGGTGTAGGGGCGGTTTAGGCCGTGAGGCTTAGGGGTTACTGTAAGGTGCCTCCACATGTAGTAAACTGTCATCACCATGGCACCATCTTCTTCAGATCATGGTCACCATGACCACCATCAGCACCCAGCACCTGCACCCGCACCATCTCATGCACCACCACCACGACTTCCACCGTCACCGCCGCCGTCACTACCACCAATGGTCATCTTCATGTCGTAGCAGATCATAGCAGCCGTAGCACACACCACCATCCGGCTCTTCCTCGTTCCTCGTGATTGAAAAAGTGCTACTGCCCCGAACCAGGACGCCTGGGAAGGGAGGCACTGTTTAGATCGGAGAACCTCAGCCCGAAACCTCGTCCCACATCGCGAACTGAAAACCCCACAGTCCACAACCCTGCCTGAACCCGGTACTTCTACTACAGTGAAGCTCTCGACCTGAAGCCACACCCCAAATCAGGATTCGGGCGACGTGAGCGGAAGTAGAGAGTCCATGCCAGGTTTTCATGCTGTGGTGGACTGACGCCTTCTGCCAACAGGGAGGAAAAGACCGGCAGGGTAAAGCTTTCAGGCAGATCAGTGGTTGCAGATCAGAAGTAATGTGGACCACCGATGTATGAAAACCCCGTGAAGCCCTTAGCTTTTCTGAAGAAACGGGGGGCTCAAACATTAAGGGGCTTGCTTCCTAGCGACCCCCGGGCCGCCAGCGAGCCCTGGCAAGCGTCCCGTCACGGTTCGGGGTTTAGGACTTAGGGTTTGGAACACGACACATAAACTCTTCCGAGCAGTCAGCCCTAAACCCCAAGCCTCCAAAGCACGTAACAACCAAACACACCGAAACGAACTACAGCACCAGAAACAACAAACAAACACAAAAACACAAACACACAAACACACAAAAACAAGACTAAGCCCCACAACCACTGACACCAAAAGCCCGAAGCCGCAAGAGCTCTCATGCACACAGGATGGAAAGAAGCTGCCAGACCTGGAGAAGGCTTCATCTATGAGTTCAGGGTATAGGGTTTAAAGAGTTAGGGTTTAGGGTTTAAGAGTTTAAGGTTTCGGGTTTAGGGTTTAAGAGTTAGAGGTATAGGGTCTAAGAGTTAGAGGTTTAGGGTTCAGGGTTTAGGGTCTAGGGTTTAAGAGTTTAGGTTTGAAGAGATAGGGTTTAGGGTTCGTGAGGGCCTTAGGCGAGCTCTTTCAGCCAAGAGCCAAAAAGTCGTCTTAATTCGAGAATCGTCACTTGGGTAGCTCTCTAAATTAGGGTTTAGGGTTTAGGGCTTCGGGTTTAGGGCGTCGGCTCCGGACTTCTCTGGGTAGTTCTCTAAATTAGGGTCCCTTGTAGGGTCCTTTGTATAAGGGTGCCGTACTATATTGGGGACTTAGTTTAGAGAACTGCACACTTGTATATCCCGTAAACCCTAGTGCGGTGCCCGATACAGTTTAAGGAGCTTAGGGTTAATGTTTGAGGATTTGTACTTCAAGCTATATGGGGTTTACCCTAAACCCTAAACCCTGAACCCTGAACCCTAAAACCCTAAACCCTAAACCCTTTAGTCTTGGTCTTTTGGGCAAGGTTTGTGCGGCTTGATAACGGTGCCCCGAGCAGGTTTCTGCGTGGTGTTCTGGGGCTTTGTAGGCGGGGCTTAGGGTTTAGGGTTTAGGGCTTAGGGTTTAGGGTTTAGGGTTCATGGCTTAGGGTTTAGGGCTTAGGGTTTAGGAAGGATGTGTCGCAAGGAGGTGTGTATATGTAGCAGCACTAGATATGCAAACAGTAGGTATTCAAATAAACAGGTAACTAGCCAGCGAAACAACTAGGTTAGTGGAATAAGCATATGACTACTGAAGTTACGGTAGCAGATAAAGGAGAGACCAGTACATACATAAATAGAGACTCGCAGAAGTAAAGCAGTGAATATACAAGACAAAAAAACATCAACGACAACCATTACAAATAAATACAATTATCTTGACTACTAACAGCAGCAGAAGTGGCATTTACTGATTCTCAAGGCTCCGACAGCAAACTCCAAATCCCAAACACCCCCCTAAACCC